CTACTGTCGCTTGACAGCGATTCAAACACTAAGGCGACAGGGGAGCGGAGCTAGGCAAGTGGGAAGAGATTGCCCTCCTCGTCTGCGTGCCTGTGCTCAGGTGCTAACTCGGGGAGGATCCGTGGGGCACCGGCGACGAGCACGGTAACGGGATTCGAGCCAGGCAGCGTCCTGCACCTGTGGGGGTCCCTGAGTTGCACAATGGCGAAGCCCGCTTCCTTCTGCAAAAAGAAAAAGGTTCGCCTTGCTTTATGGACACACACGATCCCAAAATGCAGTTTTCCAGGTCTGATCTCGGATTCCTAATGCAGCCAGGAAGTCAGGCTCGGATCTTCGGTGTTTTCCTGAGGTGCCTCTCAGACATCTCAGGCCATCAGCAACTTCGTTTCGGTGACTTTAGGGTCGCCTGAAGTGCGACTCCGCAGTGAGCGAATCGAGGTTTAACACCGTTTCCCGTTCAGAAACGACTGAGACTGAAGTCGGACATGACAGAAGCAAACTTCAGCCTCCCTTACGCTCAGGAGAACGCTGGCTTTGAGACCAGATTTTTTTTTTTCACCACCAGCCCCGAAACATTTACAGAAAAATTAGCCTTTTGGTGCAAATTAGTCCTACGGCTCATAGGACTAGTCTGACTTCCCAAAATCTAACTAAGCAAGCGAACACCCCTCGAGTAAAACTGTCCAACAACTGTGTGATACTTTACTGTGATAAAAAAGGAAGATGAATAACACGACTGACACCTTCATTTTTGCCGGAAAGTTCCTGGTGCTGGGCACAGCAGTTTTATTTACGGCATTTGTGTACTGCGGTCGCCTTGTTGCATTTAGGTTGATCACTCCGAAAATCATTCACGCCTTCAGCTTCAAGAATCAATGCTGGAATCAGTAGAAATAACCAGATTAGAAAAACCAGGAGTAATTTCGTGTATGCATTTTCGTTGACTCACTGTGACTTTTTGCAAAACAGTCTTTCTCGTTTACCTCCGAAATGGGATGATAAATTCATGCCCTTTCGTTTACCTTGCTACACACCGCTTTGACTGTGTAGTGAAAACAACAGAACACATTACTAGTAACCCTCATAAATAATTGTGACCTGGTTACAAGAAAATACACATTCATCTTTATAGATCTAAATTCAAAACGTATACAGGTGCTGCTGTGGGCTGTAAGGCGTGGTGATCTCCGTTCAGAGGGTGCTTGCAGCCTTTCGGGAAGCGGGACGGGCTGCCGGCTGCCGAGTGGCTCCGCTCGGGGCTGTCCTGCCTGCTGAGCCCCTTGTGCTTAGCCCACCTGCGGACGGCCCTTTCTCACCTACTGCTTCCTAATCAGGTTAAACCCCTTCAGCGGAAATAAATAAATCAAACGAGTGAACAAAGCAAATGGTAAATCCAGCATATAATCTCTCGTGTGAGGGTGGGTGCTGCACGGACACCGGGGAAGGACCTCCGGTTCCTAGAGTGTCAGCTTTCTCAAACGATTAGAGGAGAAATGATACGAAACTGGCTGTATTTAATGTTTTACAAAACTAGATCGTGCCTGAAGTATATCCTCTGCCTTCCTAGATCCCGGCTGGACCGGCGGTTTGTTTCATGCCGCCAGTGAGGACGGGGGAAGCGGGACGCGGGCGCTGCCCACCGAGCGGGTGCTGCCCACCGAGCGGGTGCTGCCCACCGAGCGGGTGCCGAGGCTGACCCGAGCCTGCGAGCGAAGTCTTGTCTTTAGCTCTGTCACCGGAAGGTGCGCGGGCAGTAGCCTTGGCCAGGACGTGGCGGGCTGCGGGTCATGGCACGGGCCGGCGCTAGCGAGAGCCGTGAGGGTTCGCACAGCCCGCTCTGCCGCGGGGCTCGACAGGGCCGGCGCTAGCGGGAGCCGTGAGGGTTCGCACAGCCCGCTCTGCCGCGGGGCTCGACAGGGCCGGCGCTAGCGGGAGCCGTGAGGG